AAACAATAAGAATAATCCAAAAGGAGGCAGAAAAAGAAACAAGGAACAAAGAAGAGATGGGACAAATACAAAACAAATAGTGAGAGGGCAGATTTACCCATGCATATCTGTAACCACACTAAATATAAATGGCCTCAATACCAACTAAAATGCATAGATTGTCATTGAACCATGGAAGGTTCACAACTTGGAGAAACCAGGTATCGTGCAATGTGAAAGTAAGATCCAAAGCTGGAAACAGAAGAACTGATGATGTCTAAGTATATGGAATGACAGATGTCCAGAAGCCTTCTACTGCCTCGTACTGCCAGGCAGCTGGCAAGAGACAGAGGTTTATTCTCTGGGGACAAGAAGGGGGATTCTGGGCCAATGCCCAGCTAAGGTCAGGAATGATGTTTGGGGCTGAGAACATGGGAATAAATTCAAGTTTCTGAACTGAACAACAGCATTCCTAGTTTCTGTTCTTCACTCTCTTATTCTTAAACCTATATTAGAACTAATACAGAGAAAGAATATTTTTCACTGGAAGAACAGAACAGTTTCAGCAAAAAGACATTCATGTACTAACATCAAGGGCTCCCTAGTGAAAAATACAGTTTTCCATTTATCTGCCCTACAGTGAATCTGAGCAGACAGTAAGCTCCTCTCCCCATAGCTTACAGTTCCCAGTTGAACATGACGGAACAGCAAATGGTCAGCACACATTTGAAGTATACTTTCTATAGAAAAGGTACTGACAAAAAAGGGGAAGGGGAAGAGAAAGGAAGAAAAGGAAAAAGGGAAGGGAGGAAAGACGGTGGAAACAGGAATCTGGAGACAGTGGAGGGTGATGGGGGCAGGACTCCTGAACTCTCTAGGTAATATCATGAAAGACCTAAAGGAAACATGGCATCCATAAATAAGGAACCGGATGCTACAAAGAAGTGGAATAATAAAAGAAGGGGAACATTTTTAAAACTTAAAATTAAAGTGAAAAAAAAATAATCATAATACTATTAGAATTTAAATTGGCAGAAATCTCCCAGAAGGTAGAAAAGATAGAAAGAAAAGGGATAAAGAACAAAAAAGATACATTCTCAGAAAATCTGTGCAGAGGGTCAGACAACTGGCTTTCCAGGAGAAGACTGAATGTGGAAGGAAAGAAATGAAAATGTTCTCTCATTTCTTTGGTTTTCCAAGAAAACTGGAAGGCAGGCATCTATAAAGGGAGGTTTTACTTAGTACCTGCATACAGAATAAGAAAAAACCTATGCCAACGGGGGTCACAGTACATTTTAAAATACTAGGAATAAAGAAAAGATATTAAAGAGTTTCAGAAGAGAAAAACAGATCACAACTAAATTTTTTAAATGGTTGCCTCTAACATTACTTGTTTTAGCTGTGTGTGTGCATATGGGCAGGGGTAAGGGGGAGGCAATTTGTTTCTTCCAGATTTGTAGAGGGGAGGGATGGATAATCCGGGAGAAGAACTGAACAGGTGGAGCTCAGGTCCCCTCTATGCTCTGCTTGACCACACGGCAGGGGTATTTGGCTCTCTATGTAGTAAGCACACCCCAGCGGGGGTGACTCTACTACCAGGATAGGAGGGAGCACCTACAACTCCATCTAATTTAGTGGTGAACCAGGGAATCTTTTGGGCAATAGTATAGGTAAGTGGTGGTGTCCAGATCTGCTTTATGTCAGTAATAAAGCTGATATTTTAATGTCTACCAGTTGAAGCCCCAGAGAAGTGAAAGAGGTATGATGTATTACCTCCCACCAAACCCCAACTATGTGCATGAAGCTTTGATTAAAGTAAAAGCAAGTAAAATAAGTGATACAATTAATTAACACAGAAGCATCAAGGAAGTCCCATGAAAGCACACATTCAGATTCAAAGGAGAAAGTGCTGAGTACCAGTGTTTCAGAAAGGAGAGCGACAGGCACATCTGATTTGCCACTGATCGTATCAAAGGCGCTCATCTGCACCTGCATATTAAATAACTCAACAATGGAGGTTAACAGCTGGCAAATTATGTTCATTACTCCTTTTCAATTAAACCCTATCATTACTGTAAATGGCAAAAAGATCTCTCAATTGTCAGCTCTGATCTCAAATGTCCACCTCAGTTATAAAGTGAAAGGTATTATGGAGATTTGAATTCATGTCATCAGTCCACCATCAGTTCTCTCTCCTGTATCTACCTTTCTTTCCTGAAATACCACTAAAACGTTAGCAAGACAATAAAAAAAGGTATAAACCCACAAGAACAAAAAGAAAAAGAAAGGAGAAATCAGAGAATGGTAACACGTTTTTCTACAAAAGTTAAGTACATGGGGAATTCTGCTTCCAGTCAAGATGGGACAAGGGATGGATTTAAGCTTCCTCCTGAAAGGACTATAAATCCAGGTGAAAAATTGAAACAATAGTTACAAGACACAGGTTGTCTCGTAACAAAGGGCAGTGGTCCCTCAAAGGTGGTAAACAACCAAAGTGAATCATACATTTGCTCCAACTGAGGAGAGTCTCCAGAATGT